CGTGTTTCACAATTTTGTGAATAAACCAAAGAGAATGACAGTGTCACGTGATCCTGTGCTGTCTATCAGCAAAACTCAGAAAATACCGTGTCAAACCAAGTGTAAACAGATACACTGTGGCTGGTTCTGAATCTGAATCTGTTGGATATACAGTTTTATTTGTATGTTTTAAAATTTTTCCTTTGGAATTAAAATTCTGAAAAGGGAATAAGCATCACAGCTCACCAGACCTGTGTCTAGCTGACTGGTACTTGGACTCATTTGGAGTCTTCTTCTCAAGAGACCTCCTCTTCACTTTCATTTTCTGTGGCTCCCTCTCTCACACCATGTTTGAGCTTCTTCATCTAAATTGAGACCTAAAATCACCATCGTGTTTCTTTAACTTGTTTGAATTTTTTATCATCATTGCTCTCACTATGGTCTTAACTACATGAAAGAATGGCCTTATTTTCTGTCTCATTCGTCAGTATAACCTAGGCTCTCCAACCCTGCTTGTAACAGTCATTGTATTCCATATGCTGAGTGAAAGAATGTCACTAGTTTAAATCAAGTTGCCTTGTAATACATGTCTACATCACTTAAGGTTATTATATTTCAGGATATTGTTTGATTTTTGTCTGCAGTGTGGGGATGGAATCCAGGACCTCACAGTTGCTAGGCAACGTGCTCCACCATGAGCCGTCCCCCGGCCCCTATTTTGGATATTATTTTAAAGGAATCTCTATTATTTGATTGCTTATGGACTTTTCTAAAACCTATGCTGCATTTCAAATACCTAGAAAGTATAAAATAAATATCAGCATGTTACTGATATCACCAGTTACTGTGTCAGAAATACATATCTTCTGGTGTCCTGTTTATATTTTAATATGTCTTGTTTAAAGTTAATAGATTAAGTTTAGATATATTTCTCACCATTCAGCTGTTTAAGCCGGCCCAGGAGTGGAAGCAAATTTGGAACTGCTGAGACTTATTTTAGTTTTTTATTTTTACAGACTGTGGATTGAGCCCAGAGACCTGGCTTGTTAGGCAAGAGCTTTGCCAATTGAGCCCGCCCCCAGTCCTTTTGTTAGTATTTTGCTTTTGAGATAGGGTCTCACTAACTTTGCCCAGGCTGGCCTTATACTTGTCTACCAAGTAACCGGGGATTATACGCATGAGGCAGGACTCAAGGTAAGACACTCTTTCACAAATACCTTACTTCCCGCAGACACTAAGAAACTTGCCATAAAGGTTAGATTCTGCATATTATAATTTTGTTCATATAATTAAATTAAACTTGAAATCAAAATCAAATGAACAACTATTTATTGTAAAAATTGATTTCTTTATTGCATAAGAAAAAGTATTTCTAGATGTGCAGCAATGTAAAACTTGCCCTTGATATATTAGGCATATTGCTGAAGTCCACAGCTGGGGATTATAAGACAGCCTGTATAGGATGAGACTTCAGATGAGGAACTTGCTTTACTCCCTGGCTCTGTTAGTTGCTAGCATATACAGACTTAGCAAGGTGCCATTCTCAGAGAGGTAAATGCAGGAAAAGTGCTGCTGTGCTGACATGCACTTGTAGTCCTAAACTTGGGGGGCGGGTGCCGAGGCACAGGATACTTTGAGACCTGGAGTTTGAGGTCAGTTTTGGGAAGCATAGTGAGATTCTATCTCAGAAACAAAAACAAAAACAAAATAAATTAAATAAATGAACTAGTGTATAAGCATATGGAATGATCCTAGCAGAGTATCTGGCATAGAAAAGCATTTCAAATACATAATTCTTTTCTCTACTTCATTAAATTTTCTGCACTTGTTTGTCAGGATGGGTTCACAAATATTGGCCATTTATCTGGAAATTATCAATTTAATTTTGGATTTCTCAGAATACAAAATGCACAGGAGAGAGTTAAGTTAATTGCACCTGGACTTTTGCTTAGAAGGGGCTCAGCAAAATTATAGACATACTGATATACCTTTTGGTGTGAATACAGTATAACTCATGGCACATGAAACTTTGTAACTATAAAATATTCCCAGGCTTTCAAATATTAGTCTGTTACTTCTCTACTACGTAATGAGGCATTGGAACTGATCTGACTCTGGTTGAGACAAAAATGTAGAAGGATCAGATTTGACTTCTTTTTTTTTGAGAAATAACAGTTGTGTTTTTATATACCTTACCAGAAGTGACACATAGGGCTTATCCAGAGGAAGTACAGCCTGCTGAGCAAGTCAGGCACAAAACCAAAGGATGATAATGAATGCAATGAGAGCTAAGAATCTGAATCAGAATAAAAGAATGTCAAAGAGGAAGGTGCTCCTCCTGAGACATTTTGGAAAGTGTCCCAGGCTGTTTGAAATGGATTTTAATGACTGAGCAGAAACTGGGAAGCTGGAGGGTCTGGAAGCTACTCTGAGCATGGGGAAGTTAGGAGAGCCTTCCACTCGTGCCCCTGTTCTGAGTTGATGGGTGCAAAGTGGTGGGAATGATATCCAAACATTATACAACCTGCTGTAGGAATAAAGTCTTGGGTTCTCGGCTGATAAGGGTGAGTGCTGAGTAGATTTTGTCGACTATGAGGAGATAAATTTATTCTGGCTGCATCAGAATATGCATCCTCCATCCTCTTCAAAGAACAGACTTCTCTATTTGATCATTTTGAGAATTATCTTGACACATAATTACTTTTAATAGTATTTTAGTATTTAATACTTAGTAATACTTGAATAGTAAAAATAAGGTGGACCTTATAAAACTCCTATTGTTCAGCCATTTTGACCTATAAAGCATCAATCTCACAATTCAAATTGTCTATTATCACTCATCATTTTATTGCTTTTATGTAGTTGGTAATAAATGTGCTTCATAGAACTTTAAAAAATTTTATTCCAAATAAAAAACTATATAAAAACAAAGTTTTAGATATACTTTGTACCATGCAGATAATTTTAACATTTTCCCATTTATAAATCTTATACTTATTTTTAAAAATTCTACTCAGTTACATAATGAAAAGCATTATTTTTTGACAATTTTTAATTAATTACTTTTTGAGGGATTGGAGATCAAACCCAGGGCCTGATACATGCTGGGTAAGTGCTCTACCATTGAGCTATGGCTCCTGCACTTTCCTGACAAATATTAAATGGCAGTACAGCATGTTGGTCTTGTGAAAAACAAATATTAAAATATAGGTCAGAATTTTACTACATATTATACCATCAGTACCAAACAAAAGCAGTTTTCATAGTAAGCTGCTTAAATTAGCTGCAACTTACATTACAAATCTCAATGCAATTATTTTTATAATGTTCATGGTTTTAAACAACAAAGTAAAATAGAACTTTATCTGTAAGCATTTCCCTACAAATAGCACATTCCACCACCCAGGGTGAGAAAGGCCATTAGTTCCTGGCTCCTTGATGGTCTCCACTGTGGGAGGCCTGTGCAGGAGGACCCCCAGTTCAAGACCATCCTGGACTTTGTAGTGAGAGCCTGTATCAAAAAAAGAAAGAAAAGAAAGGAAGGAAGGAAGGAAGGAAGGAAAGAAAGAAAAAGAAAAGAAAGAAAGAAAGAAAAAAGAAAAATCTTAAGGACAATGCTCTGAGTAGCTAGGAATTCCTTAGTTGAAGAAGCATTCAAAGAGCTTTCAGAGTTAGCTATGGAAAAAGAGGACACTGGAGCAATCATCCATGAGAACACTCCTATTGGCTCAGTGCTTCTGGGTATGCTACAATTTGTAACTGCTGAGTGAGGAAAAAATTTGTACAATTGGATTGGTAGGTAGAGGGTTATTTCAGTGTCTCTCAAGAAAATTTAACATTATCTAGCATGTTACATATGGTATGTGGCAGAAAACACTGTGATGGCTGAAATTTTTGTAAATTTCTTTTTACTTTCTAAATATAACCTAACACAAGTTCCTGTTAATGTCCTCTTTGTTCTGTTCTCAGAAACTTACCTCTTTGCTGTCTCCCAACCTTAGAAATCAGAAGGAAAGAACAAGAGTTAATGGAGTGGCTCAAGTGGGAAAAGCACCTGCCTAGCAAGTGTGAGGTCCTGAGTTCAAATCTCAGTGTCACCTGTACCAAAAAACAAATGTACTAGGAAAGGAAAAGAGACAAATGTTTTGGTTTGCTTTTAATAGTCTTAATTTATTTTTCATATTCTTTTGATATTCTGTTACTACCTAACCAAGGCAGTAAATGTCATTATGTCTCTTAGCTTCTGAGGCATTTAGATGGTTTCCAGGGTTTATTTACACTGTCACAATTTGCCTCTTTCAAGCTTATTCATCCACCAGTCTTGCCCCCAGCGTATTCCTTTTGCAATCCTGTGCACATAACCATTTGCATATCGATATATATTTAGCTAAGAAGATTATTATAAATCATTGCTTACACCACATATTCTCTGGGTCTCTCTCTCTCTCTTTTTTTTGGTGGTACTGGGGTTTGAACTCACAGCCTCATGCTTGCTAGGCAGGTGCTCCACCACTTGAACCACTCCACCAGCCCTCCATATTTTCTCTTTTGACTTGATATAATCATCCTTGAGCAGGTATCATCTTCTGCTATACAGTGAATTTCTTTTCCCAGTGACACTAGAGTTCACTTTTTGGTTTAGGATTTGTAAAACTATTCAAATCTGAGAGAACAAATGTTTGTTTTTGTTTATAAACTCATTGACTTTATATATTCTAACATTATGCCAAATGCTTTCTTGGACTTGAATAATAAATGCTATCTTTTTTGACTTGGCTTCCATTGACTTATTTGATGTTTGTTACTTTGGATATAAAAACAGAGCTTGTCAAGTCAGATGATTCAATCTGGCAGAATACTGCTCTAGCAAACAAACCATGCCCAACCAAAATCCACTTGAAAGTTTACAGAGGTTCAATTCTGTACCAACTGAAGTGAGAACATAGCTAAAAGCACAAGAAGAGTGCTGATTGGCTGGAGTGTGTGAGCAGGATACATAAAAGGCAGCTGTAGAACATCTGGGAAGGTCAATGCTATCACTCACCTAGACTCAAAGCTGCTTGCTCCTCAAACAGTGCTTCTTCACCATGAGTGGGTGTCCATTTTTGGGAGAAAACTTTGGGTGAGTCTTTACTCTGTTTTAAGTGGAGTTAGGCTCTTCAAACTGTGGGGTATATGCATTTTAATTTATGAATTTAAAGAGCACTGAAAACTGTCACCTTTATTCTCTACATTAATAACTTAAGTGGAATTAGTAATAGAGAATTTTAATCAATCATATTGTTAGTCAATTGTGTTTTCTCAAACTCTTTTTTTTTTCATCTATTAAAACTGTAGATATGCTTTTAAAAATCTCTCAGTCAAAGACAGTGAAGAAGACAAATCACAAACAGGTGTGAATAGAGCCAGCAAAGGAGGACTCATCTATGGAAATTACCTGCAGGTAAGTGGCAGGGTCACCAAAGGGGCTGGCTTCCATTGTTAGACACTAAACTCTGCTACATGCCTTCTTCCTTCCCTTCTCTCCTTTTCTCTTCTCTTCTTTCCTCTCCTCTTCTTTTCTTTCTCTTCTCTTTCTTTTCTTCTCTCTTTTTTTCTTCTTCTTCCTCTTCTCTTTCTCAGTCATCAGATGTTTTTTGGATCTAAGAATAGCACTATTGGTATAAATACATAATGTTTCAACTTCCATTAGAAAAATTCAAGAGCAATGTAGGTCAATGTAGGTGAAAATTCACCTCTCTGGTAGAGCACCCAGAATCTGGGCAGAAGAGTATGAAAGATAAAATACAGTGTAGATAACAGGCAAGCTTTGAAGAACTTGGATAAATAGGTCAGGGTCAATAAAGCCCCAGTCCACAGAGCTGCAAATGCAGCTCAAAAAAATTTCTCTTTCAATTTGAAATGCTAAAGGCACACTGATACTCTTCTTCAAATCATTAGTAAATAAAAGAGACATGTCAACAAATGACGTATTTGGAGGTTATTCTAGGTAACCTTCAGCCTGTTTGTCTTTTCTGTTTTTAAGAAACAAAATGTTTAGAACTCTTGATGCCTTAATGGATGGATTTCTAAGAATTAACTGATAAAGCAGGTTAAGACTGTCTTGGAGTAGGTTGCTTAGAGGAATAAGAGAACAAAGGACCACAGATGAACAGTACAAGTAAGTTTTCAGATTTTCACAAGATCCATTTAATGAGATATGAAGGACATGACTACACAAGGAATGTGATAGCATTTGTTATTACTAAATCTTCCCTAACTGAATGTTTCTGAGAAAAATAAAAATCACAAATTCAACTCACACACTTTATGAGACTCATTCATCATTTAGAAGAAAACAGATTGGTTTCTGAGAGTTTGGGACCTTGGGGTACCTTTTCCAGGATTGTATCCTACTTCTTATTAAAGTTGATTTAAAAACCCAGGTTCTACAATTTCAAAATCACTCTTCTATTTTCATTTAAAGTTGGAAAAGGTTTTGAATGCACAAGAACTTCAAAGTGAAATAAAAGGAAATAAAATCCATGATGAACATCTTTTTATCATAACTCATCAAGGTAAGTTGCAAAGGGTTGGACAACAACCATTCCACAGGCATTTATCATCAATAATGAGAACAGCTACCAGCTTTTATCTATATGAAGGTGAATGATCAAGGGATCAGTATCGTTAGAAATGCTTGATGACACGTTGTGTCAGATAGATTCTCACAGGACACTTTAGGCTTCACATCAGTCATCTTTATGTTCATTCACTGATAATGAAATCAAGTAGGACGTCAGCTTTGTCCTTAGCACCAAGGAGATTTTTTTATCTCTTGGAATTTTACTGAGAATTTGCAAACTATTTTTAACTTGGAATTAAAAAAAAGCTACTTTAAAGAAATCATTTGAATTTCTTGCAGATATATGAAATTTCATAAAAAACATAACTTTTTTCTAAAAGATAGGCTTATTCGCTCCAGATTTTCAGTGTCTGGGGAGTGGCTGTTAGCCTTGGGGTCTGTGAATTTAGGAGTTTCAAAGGTCCCTGATCTCTGAAATTGTGTGCAAATCTTCAAAAGTATTTATTTTAAAGAAGATCGTGATCCCACTTATTAAGAACACTTGCTGTATGTTGTCAGTACCACAATACTTGGGTCATCTGTCTGACCAGAGCCCAACAATGCATACTGGTCCTGTACCATATATGTCTACACACATTTCCTTTCCTTACCAGTTCTTTTGTCCTTTTCTCAAATAAGCACTTACCTAGGTAACTGACTAAAATGACAAACTCCTTTGAGTGAAAAAATTGAAGACGGAAAACAATTGGCTTAATGCATTACTTCTTCTGTTTCACATTTATTTTTAATTGCAGGCTTATTCCAAGGAAAAATCAGTAAGAGATGAGTCACAGCATGGTAGCACAAACTTGGACTTGAAAAATAAGTCAGAATCTCATCTCTACCTTTATAAATTGTGCGAATGTGGCCAGTTTGGAGAGACTTATTGTGGGTTCTCAGTCACTGTGTTTCCATGCAGAGGGAATGAGATAATCTGCATTAAACACCTGGCCCAAAGAATAGCACATAGTACGCTCTTGACAAATGGTGACTGTCATGTGATAGGAGCACTTTCCTTCTTTTGCTCAGTTACAACATGTAGGCTGCGGGTCTGGAACAAGCTACATAAGGTTAAATTTGGAAATGAGATACAGAAATAAATCAATAAACCTTTAATTTTCTCTTTGCCCAAATATGAAAATTAAATCTCTCCAAGTCCCCTTAAATGCAATTTAAAATTACCATTGGATTTTCCTTAGTTATCACAGAAACATAGCCTATACTTATACCAGAGAAATAAATAAGATATACCAGAGACATCTAACACTACTGACCTTCTGTATTCATATAGTTATTATATTGACTACTTAATTCATTTATTCATAAAATAACTGCCTAGGGTCTACATTATGCCAAACATTGTGTTAGGTACTCAAGGAAAAAAGTAAATGAGTGTGACAAAATACTTAGTTTCTAGAGCTTAGAATATTAGGGGAAGGACAAGCTAATGAGGGCAACACGTCTTGCTTGCCACAAATAGTCTGGTATACAAAGGGGTAGAAAGGTCTTCCCATATCTGTCGGTGATACTACTGCAAGTCTTATGATTTAGAATTAGGCTTCCACCTGTAAGTGGCTCCCTGTTTGACCATTGTACAAAAGATCAACTGGCCTTAAGGGAAATTCAGTTTTCTACCCCAGTGATGTTGTTGGTAACTTCAGTTGGACCGATTCTAACTATGCTTCTTCCAGTCCACCTTTTCTCTCCTCAATGCCAGTTTTATTGTTTGATATGCCTGTGAAGGGGAAATGAACTTGCAGTTCAGGCTTTAAAAACTAGCTGTGCATCCAAATGGGTCCTCTAAGAAGAAGCACTAAATAATGCTGAATTAATTATAAGAAAGTCTCCCCTGGGAGAGTAACTTGAAGCTTTGTCATAATTGTTTTGCTACAACTTCTGGCCAGTTTCTCAGTTGTCCTGGCTCATGAGCTTTTTTTTTTTTTTTTTCAAATAATAACAACAAAAACAAATCCCACTGCATTTTAAGTAGCTTAGCTAGAACTGTGTAGTAATAACGAATATGAAACATACAAGTGAAATATCTGGCATATTCACACATTCAACAAATGGAGACTATTATAACTTACTCATTTCTAGCATAAAATGGCTCTATATTTACATTTATTGATTTAAAAGTGACATGCATTTGTTTTTCAATATGTTAAATACATCTTTCAATGCTCAAAGAGGCTCTTTTTTTAAATTACAGCTTATGAACTCTGGTTTAAGCAAATCCTCTGGGAATTAGATTCTGTTCGAGAGATCTTTCAGAATGGTCATGTAAGTTACTGTGTCATGATACTGATTTGATATATTTTGGGGAAATTAAAAATGTTAATGTGAAAACATGAACACAATACTGAAATGATTAATAATGAAAAATCTTCTTTCTGAGCAGACAGTTTTGTCACATTTTACCGGTGTCTTTGCTATACAGTTTCTTTCAAATTTCAGTCTCAAGCCCTTTGTGTAGATTTCAGTATTTTTCTCTTAAAAAAAAAAAAAAAGAAAAGAAAGGTGTTATAAGCAATGGTAGATTTCCAGGCTAACTCATAGAGATCCTTCATTTCATTGGTAATAGAATTATATTTCTAATGAATATTTGCTGTGAAAAGATAGGAGGAATAATGAAGACAGTGAAGATGAAATTGGAAGAGATAGAAGAGGAGTAGGAGGAAGAAAAGGGGGAGCAAGAGGAGGAAAATGGGAATGGGGAAGAAAAAGAGGAGGAGAACAAAGAATGAGAGGAGGCAGAGCAGCGCTCAAGACGGTGGCAGAAGTTCCACCTGTACTTTCCTATTTTCCACCTCCCTTCCTCTTTCCAGCCTCTTCAGAGCACAGCCTTAGGTCCTCCATGCTCCAGGAGTGTCTGGGAAAGATGCACATATACACACAGAAAATACCCTCTTATTTCTGTAGACAGAAACCTTGGCCCTCAGTGAAGGGCAGATTTATCCAGGAGTTTCTTAATTCTTACCTGGACATTTTCATGTTAACTTGATCTTTTATTTTTCTCTGAAATAGAGAAACTTGAAACTTGAAAAAGAGAAACTTGTTTTGAAATCAGTGGGAGCTGTGTTCCAGAATTTATGTCTAATTTGAGTCTATAATTTTCTATTTTTAAAGAATGAAAAAAGAATTCTGATATGGGAAAGTTTGAAAACATCCCTTTGCACACAATTCAGAATTGCTATAGCTCAACATACACCCATGGCGAATGTTCCAATGTTCCAATGTTCCTCTTTACAATACAAACCAAAATCTCCTGTATAAGTATCATATACTAACAAAAACATTAAAAAAAGACTTCGAAGCACACATGCTTATACTTGTTTAATTATTTATAACTATTATTGCTTGTTGAAACAAAGTTATCTTAATAAAATTTAATAGAAATTAAAAAATAAAATACACATGAAATCAGTAAGAATCATTGCCATTTATGGTCTATTCTGTACCTTCTCAAAATCAGAGTTGACTACTCAGTCTTTTATCCCTCACTCCCCAGGTCAGGGATGAAAGGAACATGCTCAAGGTCGTGACTCGGATGCACCGCGTGGTGGTGATCCTTAAGCTCCTGGTGCAGCAGTTTTCTGTGCTGGAAACCATGACAGCGTTGGACTTCAATGACTTCAGGTGTGAATGGGGGACAGAGAGGTTTGCCTTCTCATTCTGTGGGGTAAAGGAAAATGTGTGTGGTGTGTGACATGAGGAGCCTAATATACTGACACTCATTTGAAGGATGTTGGGGTCTTTAATTACAAAGCATTTGAGTTTTAAAAACATTTCATGATTCACTTTTACATATAAAAATAATGTGATTAAATAATTTCAGTTCGTAGTTGCATACTGCTTTTCTCCAAAACATATTTTGTATTAGCTAAGACAGCTAATACAAATATAAATAAGCTTTAAAAAATTAAAAACAAAATAAATGAAAAGGAAGTGATATGTAAAGAAGCATGTCAATCAGAAATGTCAGAATAATTTATGTATTGAGCCATACATTTTAGCTCTGAATTTTCAGGCAATCAAAGCAATCAAGTATGAATGCATACTTATATCTATCTCTACATCTATAGATCTATCTATCATCTATTTATCTATCTATCTATCTAGTCTTTTCAAAAAACATATGCTGTTTTTGTGCCAAAATTAGAGAAGAAATTTTCTCAAGAAACTTGCCTTAGGTGTATCTTATGTGTAATATGTAATGACCCAAATGTGTTTGACAAACAAAGAACAAGTAGTAGAATTCTCTGTGGTGGATTTAGAAAAATTAAAATATCAGAATCAATTAGATGTAGGACATTTAAAAGGAACTAAGAGTTTGAGTGGCTTGTAGGGTTTAATAGAAATAGTCTTTGATTGCCTGTTTTATGCTAAGCTGCATTTCATTTCTTTGACTTGGATTATCTCAATGATGCTCATAATAATACTGGGTAGGGAGAAGAATAATATCCAGGAATGTAATTTGTAGGAGGAACTAAATAATATTTGTATGCAATCTTTTAGTATTGTAGAGTGAGAACAACTGCCCACCTATCTTTATCTTAGGGAAAAAATTAGCCAACACATATGAACACAAAATTACATATATATACAAACACACATTTATAGTATTTGTATACATGTATGTATACACACACATATATATAGTTACACATACATGTAAGTATATATAGTATTTTAAAATACACACAAGCTGTGCAACTTCAAATTGGCAATAATGGTGGTTCAGTAGCTCTTTTTCTTATTTCAATAAGAGTCAATCACGGGTACAAGTCTAGGTGGTTGTACATGTCTCTTCTCCATTGTGTACTGGAAACCCCTCACAATAGAAGCAACTGTTTCAGTGATTCAAAATGCTAACCCATGCCTTCTTTTCTCTTTTCTTCCCCTCCTGCATTTATTCTTACAGAGAGTACTTATCTCCAGCATCAGGCTTCCAGAGTTTACAATTCCGACTGTTAGAAAACAAGATAGGTGTTCTTCAGAGCTTGAGAGTGCCTTATAATAGAAGGCACTATCGTGATAACTTCAAGGGAGAAGATAATGAACTGCTACTTAAATCCGAGCAGGAAAAAACACTTCTACAACTGGTGGAGGTGCGTGCTTCTATACTGCCTTGGAAGTTAAATTCAATACCCCTTGTTAATTGAGCTTCTGGCTAGGTCAGAATTTTAAAACATATCAGAGTTGGGTTACAATCATGGTAAGTAAGGACAGAAAACATTTATGAAAATACTGAACTTATAAATTCAACCTATTAAAATATCAAAAACTTTCTCTGAAAATTCAGAAATATTTATATAATTAGTTGTATGTTAATATTTGATAACTTCATCATATCATTAAAACAATCCTTTTAAACATTCCTACTAAACAACATTTAATTAGCTGATTTTTAGGCTGACTGTGGCTAATTATCAGTTTCATTTCTTTAAAAAATAACTTAATTGAAAATTTTCACTTGAGTATTTTTCTTAATTAAATTGGATTATTAAGGATATACTCTGCAGTATTTTTCACCTGCATGTCACAATTCCCTGAGAATCTATAAATAATCTTCAGGAATTATTAATTTCATTTTGTAAGTGAGTTATAAGTGAGAATTTTATTGTCTTAATTTTCCTCATAAAATATTTTCTTTGCAAATTAAACTTTTCTTTTAGTGAGTTACACTCTGTTCTTTAATCCCACGGATATTGTAAATATGGATTTAGGTTACTCTATTCTACATATTATCACATAATTGCTATGAAGACTCAGAAAGAGTCACAACACTAATTTCTAAACTAAATACAAGTTAAATGAGATTCCACAGATATGCATAAATTCAGCTTCATTTCTACATTATAAAGTCTTGTGTAATCTTAAAATAATTGCATGGTTAAGTAATTTTAAAGTTGCTAAGTATAAAATGCCCCTGAAATGCAAAGAGAGCACATCTTATCACACTTTCTTGAGCTCCTGAAGCATATTTTGAGAATAAGTCAATAAGCTGGAAGATGCCATTAAAACAGTGTTTAAATATGTTCATAAATGTCTAGAAGAAAATTAGAACTCCAATAATCATGTATTTATTAAGAAATAGAGAGTAAACATTATTAGTGATGATTGCCTAAAAGATTAAAAACTGAAACATATCAATTGCTATTTCATACATGAAGAAATTGAAAGGAGAGAAATATATTTACAAATAAACTTGTGACATGTTTCTCAAAATTATGACGATTACTCATTTGAAATTTATAAAAGTAGCTGTAGTGTATTTTACATATTTTATATTTACATATATTCACTTAAAATAATATTTATTTAAGGCATGGCTAGAAAGAACACCTGGTTTAGAGCCACATGGATTTAACTTCTGGGGAAAGTTTGAAAAAAATATCATCAAAGGCCTGGAAGAAGAATTCATAAGGGTTCAGGTATATATGATGTCATGTGTTAATACGAACTTACTTCAGAAAAAGTATTCAAAATTTTATTTCAAAAATTGCTATTCTATTAACTTCTCATTTTTTAATATTCTTTTTCTTTCATAAATGTATCTTCTTGTACTATATTATATAATATAATTTTCTTCATGTATAATAAAAATTATACTAAATTAAAATACTCAGGCAGAAATTTTGTTTATGGCAAATAGCTGAGATTAAGAGAATTTTTTCATGTCTCCTGAAAATTCCATATTATAACCAATTCTAGGAGCAACTAAACACAGAAAGGAGTAGCCAGCCAAATGAATTTAGCGACGTAACTTTTCTTTGGCTCTTGTACATCTGCAGGGTCCTTTCTGTTGACCATGGACAAGGTCAATTTGCTGCTGTGTAAAAAATGCTCTTGATTTCATGTTTCCATCAAGTGATAGTTGTCTCATCCTCTCTTCATGACTGCATCTCTTGAGTCATTTAAAATCTCTATTTTAATAGCCTGTATCAGTTAATATTCAAAGCATGATCTCTGCCGTCACAGAGCAAGGACTTAATTCCACCTCCACTGTGGAACCTGCGACAGTAAACAAATTACTTAACTTCTCCTTGTCTCATTTTTGCCACTGGTAAAATAGAAAATAATCATATTTACCTTAATTGATTATCATAAGCATTAAATTAGATTCATGTTTAAAAGTTTAGAATAGCAGTCAGGATAATTGTTTCTTTATCTTTCATCTCCTCCTCAATCCACTCCAATCTTCTTACCCATCATTTATAAATTGCATCCAGGAACTAAAACCAGAGGCCATTTTTAGTTTTAATTTTGTCCTGTGCTAATGGCTACTTAGTTTTTCTTAAGCATTCTTTTCCCTCAGATTTTAATATACACCATCATGTCTGCATCTGATTATGTCTTATTTCTGTACTTCTTTACTTGCTCATATTTCCCTTTCAACTAATAATAAGTACCAGGGCTTTGAAATGGCACTGGCTGAAATCTTTTCTGTTCTGTCTCGATACTCTCATTAAATGATCTCATTTATACCCAGCACTTCAATATCTACTTATTCATCACTAATTCTCAAACATTTATCTCTATTTTGAATACCTCCTTAGATTTTTTAGGTCATATATTTAATGCTGTCTTTGATATTTGCTTCTGCTCCTCTTAAACATAATAATAAAAACAAACAGAAAATTTCCCTTCCATACACTCTCATATTGACCTGGTCTTCTCATAGTTTAGGAAGTTGTTCTTTTGTAATCCTTTTACTGGTCCTTTTCCTCACTTCCCTCAACTACTTCTCTGAAGTATCACAAATTCTACCAATTTTACTTCCAAAGAGCTCTCAAATCTCTCCTTTTTACTCACTACTACTAGTTGAGAGCTTATTGGTGGTATTGCTAAAGCAATTGTCTCTCAACTGTCCCATCCATTACCCCAGCATGGCTCTTTACAATTCATTGTCCACACTACCCTCTGAATCATCTTTTCAAAATGCAAATCTCATCATGTCTCTCTTTTGCTTAAAGTCTTCTGATGTCTCTCTGTTATTTTCAGGAGAAAGACAAAAATCTGTAACATGGTAATAAGGCCATTAATGATCTCATAAACTCCAACCATACTGACCTCCTCTTAAGTATTAGAGCTCAGTTCTTTGAATTTATGGAATTCTTTTAAATGCTATTCTCTGGATTTAGAATTTTCATCTCCAGGTAATTTCTTCCCACCCACTTTCAGGTCCTGACTGAAGGAATGTTTTCTTTAGGTGATGCTTTCCTTTCTTCCTCATTGATATTGGTTACTTTGGCACAAATTCTCTTTTTGTACAGCACTGCTCCTGGCTGCAATTCAGTGCTTGGGTAATTACTTGTGAGATGTCTCAATCCCACCAGATAATATGTGTGAGCTCAAGGGACTCAACTCTCACCTACAATTTTATGTTTACCACTTTTCTTCAACATTTATTGACTAAATGAATAGCTAATTGACAATAACATGTATACTGGTGCTTACTTGCACAGGGTGCTTGTTCTGAAGAATTGAACATTGGGCTCACTAATTTGCTCCGTTCAGTGAGTTATATTATAAGTAGAGCATAGGTGGTGGGAAGAAAAATAAGATTTTGTTTAAGTCAGTCATTAGATATTAAATGAATAAAAATACAAGTGTAAAACACATGTAAGAAATTGTATTTACTGAATATAGAATGCATATTACTGAATATAGAATTTCAGCCTACTAGTTTTTCTGGCTAACTATTCTTAATATTACCTAAGCTGAATTTCTTTATTCTTATGTTAACCAATTGCTATTTAAAATTAGATCACCAGTGACCACTTGTCAGTATTACCACTAAATTTTATTCACTTTATCCATCCCTCATGGTTTTCATGAAGAGAGTATTTGAGATTATCAAGCTGTTTTAACTTAAATGAAAGACTAGAACTAGTGAGTATGTGAAGGATCCCTTCTCATTAGATATATTTTCCAACTTGTAATATTAGATGACAAAATAAATATTCTAGGCACACCCTTGCTACAACTTGAGAATCTATTTCTCCTAAGTGAAGTTTTCTAAAATAGGAATCTGCTCTCTCTCGGAACATTAATGCAATATTTTCCCTAAAGGCTAAGGAAGAGTCTGAAGACAAAGAGGAACAGATGGCAGAATTTCAGAAACAGAAAGAGGTGTTACTGTCCTTATTTGATGAGAAACGCCACGAACACCTGCTTAGTAAAGGTAGCTATTTTATTCTAAGGACCCTTTACCTGGAATGTATGAGCATGAGATCAAAATATAATTTTTTAAAACTATCAAACCTAACTTTGGAGAAAGAGAATAAAATTGCCATTCTACTTATAGAAACAAGAATTGGGTAGGTGTTGTCTCTGATGATTGATCCTTTAACAGGTTTCTATACCAATATGTTTAAAAGATACTAGCTAAAGCATTCATAGTTTGTGCTAGAAAGGTAAATTTAATATGGTTTTCAAGTGGCTTATAGTCCCACTGGAACAAAAATAGACAAATCATTATAATTGTGTACACAGTGGTAGAGGTAAGAGAAGGAAGGAAAAACTACTCTGAGAGTGAGAGTGGCTTAACAGAGTAAATTTTTCCCACATAAACCAGGTAAAGCCCCATTTAGACTTTTTGGCACAATTGACATTGAGCTATTTATTATTTTCTGAAAGTAATGGAGGAGTATAATTACAACCTTTATTAATCAAATCTTATATCTGTTTGAAAATACCATGTTTGCTTTGAAGTTTTATTTTGAAGTACCTCAAAACCTTTTTGGAAATAGGCAGGATAGAATTCACAATTGGTCTTTATTATACAAGTATAAGGTGTAGCAGTATACGAGATTAACATTTAATTCTGTAATCTTAAACCTCAATGAGGTTTCTAAAATACTTCAGTGAAGGATGGCAAATCTTGTTTTCTCTAAGTCAGGAGCAAAGCTTTTCATTTTCTCTCTCTTATTTTATATACTCATTGCACTCCTTAAAGCCAAAGAACTTGATTTTAAATAAATTTTAGAGAAAACTACTTTCAAAGGAAGACTAGAATGAATCTTGTTTAATTTTTCAAAAAGCAAAGCATCATACTATTTTACTTATCAGAGACATTATATATTTTATTAGGCTTTCCTAACATGACATTTAAAGCTTTTTATTAGTGTATACTAATAAAATGTACAAAGGGTTTTCATTGTGATATTTCCACACATGCATATAATGTACTGTTAAAATTCACCCCTTCTATTACTTATTCAAAGGTTTTGAGAATTTAAAGTGCACATATTTGAATCATAGGCTTCTGAGTTCAAGCTAAGGGATAAAAAATTTTAACTAAAAGTTATATTGTTTTAAAAAATGTATAAACCATTTAGTTATTGAGGTGACAATACTGGATTAATATAAATTCAGGCAATTAAAACTTGTTGTATCTTGCAGGTGAGAGACGTCTGTCATACAGAGCACTCCAAGGAGCACTGATGATTTACTTTTACAGGTAAAGAAGTCAGAAGAGAAGAGATGGAAATTAAATTTGAGGTTTGGATATAGATATAAATCACATATAAACCTTATAAATTGCTGTCATAGTATTTTACGGCAAGTTAGCATTTAAAGTAAACTTATGAAACAGATTTCTTTTTACTTTTAAATACAAAAGTATACTTTTATTCATTAACAGATTATACACAAAGTAATTCAACAGCCTTTTGATTGAGTTATATAAAATATTATGTGTCATTAAGTGTCCTAAAATGCCAAAGTTTAATTTTTCTCAGGAACCCAATCGTGACTTGTGTTCTCTGTCATTAACCCATACTTGCAGAGTTCTTCGCATTTTGTAAAATGGATAAAATGAAAATGTCTCATAAACAGTTGTTCTATTAACTCATGGTTTCACATATACTTGCCTTAACTGTCTGGAATCTTTTCCGTGTCCCTTGACCGTACTTATTTCTGCTTCATGTGTGAAGGTCCTGTCCTAATGGCTCATGAATAAAGTGTGCAAAAGAGCAGTGGAGAGCAAAAGAGCAGTGGAGAGCAAAAAGTCTTCAAATACCTATGTTTGCAGAATATTTTGCTTCCTTGTATTATTTAATTTTAAAAATCCTTTCAAATCTATTTTTTCAGAGTATCATCATAAAATCTTTTGACTCTTTTCTTAGGTGTCCTAAGTAAGATAGTTACTGAGAAGCTTGAAGGATTTGATGAAAAAAGGAAAAACAAACATAGGAAGTAAATTGTTTTTGTGAAGCTTTTGACTTGGGGTGGTGTATGCATCTTCCTTTTAGTGAGAACCTGTTAGGAATGACTCTAGAGTTCAGATGGAACTGTCTAGACTTCAAGCAAACACTGGAAAGTGAGTAGTAGTATTCACATTTGGAGATGAAGAAACTGAGACTGAGAGAAGAACCCGAGGCTGCTGCAGCTCCTACGTGGCAAAGTTGACATTTGTTATCAGGGCCAAATAATTATAAAATTCAGGTTCTTCTCAGTCTACTGGATTTGTTAAACAGATGTCTCCTCATCTTTTCCTCTAGGGAAGAGCCTCGATTCCAGGTCCCTTTCCAGTTGCTGACTTCCCTTATGGACATAGACACACTCATGACTAAATGGAGATGTAAGTCCTCCCCCTGCTCCCAAATCCCTTCTCCTGTCCTTCTGGTCTTTTAAATAAAAACTTTTGTGGGCTCAAGGAAATGTTTTAATATTTCAGAATCAGGAGGAAAAATGAACTTTAGGTCAAAGGAAATATTTATGTATATATTTATATATATATATGTTTATTTATATATATGTTTATATATGTATATATATATGTTTTATATATATATGTATGTTTTAATAATATATTCGTCCCATGGCAAGGAATTTGAAAAGTATGATTTAATAGTTACTTTTTTAATGAAAGAAGGGTCCCATGGAGGCAAAACCATCCAAGGACTCATGAAAGTCATCGCGTGGCCCTGCCTGCCCCTGCTGTGCTCACAGGTTAAATATGATGGACGGAGGGAGTGAAATGCATGCAATATAGGCAATGTGGGGTGCTAGGCAACCTGCTGGTGTCACCGGGTGCTCACAGGTGAACCTTCCATCTGGCTAGTTGATAAGGTGTCAACCTTTTCTCAGAAGCAATAATCATTACCAACCCCTTGTTTTTAGAACATTGTGGAACTAATGGCAAAACGATGCCCATGCAGTAAATTTGTGTGTTTACCTAGATAACCATGTATGCATGGTGCACAGGATGCTAGGCAGCAAGGCTGGCACCGGGGGCTCCTCAGGCTACCAGTACCTGCGCTCGACTGTGAGGTACGTGCAGAGCCCTCCTCTTGTCGTAGTGGATGAAACATCTAAGTGCATTATTTAGAAAAGGTCATTTATATGTGCTCCTGTCTGAATGGATAAGAACACATTTGTAGTTACATGATGATATTGCTATCGGTCCTCCATTACAGAAATTCACTATAAAATCCTCCACTACAGAAATTCATCACTTTGATTCAGTAATGAAAAGGGGACTGACATCAAATCTGTGTAACTGGTGAGGACATAAAGGAATCAATAGCTTTTTTATCCAGGAAGAGAAGGCTTCAGCTCATTCTGGCTCAAGTTTTAACTATACCAAACTTCCATCACCAATTCTCCTAACACATTCTTGGCTAGACAGATGACACAGCTAAAATAGTTTCTTGTTTTGCCATGTCACTGTTTAATATTATAAAACTATTTTCTACTCTCCAGAGAGTGCCCTTTTCATAGTGTTTATAAGGACAGAGATAATATTTATTGAGGACTTAAAACATGCTAGATCAGTTTCCAGGCCATTTGCATTCTAATTTTGTTTAATATTCACAACATCATAGATAGAAAACACCTCTGAATACTGGGAAGCATGGCTCCTTAGAAAAATCAGTCAGTAATAAAAAGATGTTCATATTTAATCCCCCCAATTCTTTACTTGCTCCCATCTCTAATTCAATTACCAGATTGGATGATTTTTGAAATGTGCAACTTGAAATTTTTATTGTTTTTATACATTGTGACTTTCCAGGAAAATAAATTCTGTATGCATGAAGCAGTCAATGAGTGTACCATATGAGCACATGTATCAGGGGTGGTGGGTGTAACTAACACAAATAGCATTTCTAGTGTACTCTTATCTCTTTAATCTTCACAAAGGCCTGGTAGAGGGAGGGATTGTAGTTTTTATTTCACAGAGTTAGAAATTGAAACACTGATATTTAAACACCATGGTCCAAGTTCCAACAGGTTCACAAAAACCAGGATTCAAACCCAGGCTTATTTGACTCCAAAGGCAAATGTTCTTCCTTCCTCTAAAACTTCACCAACTGAAGGTGACTGTTTTAAAACTATAGTTTAAAATAACCAGCTAACAAAGTAGTTTTAATGTGAAATCTGCTGATGGACATTTGTAATGAATCAAAACAGTATTTGAACTTATTGATCCTTTCATGGTGGCTACTTGGCAGCTACTTCTCAATTGGGAAACATTTTCAGTGAACAGCCAAGGACTCTGTGTTTTAAATTGATCGCTAAGCATACAACCGTTAAAAGTAGAAAATAAGGTCGCATGATAATAATCAATAGCTGGGTTTTCATCTGGATCACCCTAATCTAGATCAACCAAGCACATAATACCATTTTAGGAGCTTGAACTTTAGGTATGGCTTAAAGCCAAGCAATCTTAACACTAATACTACATGATAGCTAATGTATATATGATATATACAATATGCAATGTACAACAGTGTTGAATACTAATTATTTGTGAAAATATCTGAGAAAAGGAATTTGAGGATAGAAAATTATAAATAGTTCATGTCAGCAAATCTAACCAATCTGCATGTGTATGTTTTTCAGTGACAGGTACAAGGTGTTTGTGGATTTATTTAACCTTTCAACATACCTGGTTCCTCGACATTGGATACCAAAGATGAACCCGATGATTCATAAATTCCTTTACACAGCTGAGTACTGTGACAGCTCCTACTTTAGCAGTGATGAATCAGATTAATTCATCTGAAAATTCTGTGAGAAGTACTGATCTCTCACTCTAAATTCTATTTTTAAAATTTGCATTGAATACATGAAAAGTCTTAATGTGATATATTTATGTACTTAGTTCAGTACCATGATGTTCTGATTCAATTCTGGAAACAATGCTGTTACCTCATGTTTGTGATATAAGATTAAGCATTAAGATGAGAAATAATTCAGTTATTGAATGTTGTACAAATAGTGTTTCCCTATAAAAATTCAGTTTTGGCCAGATATGGTGGTGTATACCTGTAATCCCAGCTACGTGGGGGGCATAGATACAAGGGTCACAGTCTAAGGCTAGTCCCTGGCAAAAATCAAGACTGTATCTGAAAAACATATAAAAGCAAAAAGGGCTGAGGATATGGTTCTTCATCACACTTTTGTATTTGTGTATATCATATACATATGCATGTGTATGTGTATGCATTTGTGCCTGTGCCTGTACATATATATAAATAGTGCCCAATGGTGGTAAAGCTGGAAAAACACAGAGGCAAATAGCAAGGTAGCTGAAGGTGCTAGCTTTGAAACTGCAGTCTTAGGAGCAAATTCTGCCTCTGCCATTGGTTAAGTGCCACCGTGGGACAAACCTGCTTAAGCCTGTTTCCTATCCAATGAGGAGGATTTTATAAGCTGTGCTTCTCTCATGAAGCAATGAAGAAATATGTTAACATGTTTTGGCACCAAAAATGTCTTTGAATTTTGGAAAAAAATGCTAATTTTGAAGGTTAATCTTTCTCTAATACACTACATGATTTGATGTAATTTGTTACATCTATATTTTCGGTGTGACTACGCTATATTGTAGTTTTTTCAAAGGAGGCAGTAATTCGTTTTCATATCTACACAATGGCTTTGTTATGTTCCATACCCTTTATGGAGATTCATGCTTAAAGAAATTTTTTTTTACAGTTTTATTAGAATATATTTATTGTATAGGGGAATTTCATTGGGACATTTACATACGTACTTATGATATATTTTAATTAGATTTACTCCCCCCACCATTCTCCCTCATTCCCTTCTCCTCTTCTTAGAACAATTTTGACAGTTTCCATTGTTCTATTTTCACACACATATACAAAATACATCGACCGTATTCACCTGTTTATCCTCTTTGACACATTCTGTTTACCTGCCCTCCCTCTAACCCCACATACAAACTGGTACCCACCCCTTGACAGGACTTGTTTTATCTTTCTACCTTCATTTTTTTGTAATTGTACACTGATTGTTAAATGGGGTTTTGCCATGGTATTTCACACATTTATAGGTCATACTTTAATCAGATTACCCCCTTCTGTTACTTACTCTTGCTCTGTCTTGCTCTATTCCCCAGCTTTCAGTGTATTTCCTTACACTGTCTGCATACACAGATGCAATGTATTTTGATATTATTCACTCTTTTTCAGTAATTCTTAATGGAACAGGTATTCGAAAGCTGATTTTGCTGAAAAACACTGACTCCCTACCTGGGGCAGTGAGTTAACTGAAGACAAGATAAAAGCTAGTCATCTCAGCCTCCATTTTGAATGTATGTCCTTTACTCTGAGCCATTCTCTCCTGTAGTTGCTTTGCAAGCAACTTGGAATCCAGGAAGGACAGACTGATGAATAAACATGGTGTGACAGGAAACAAAGCCTTCCCCTGTCAGATAGCCATGACTTTTATTGTAACAAGACCCCACCTGGCCAACCATGAGGCAATGAATCACCCATGACTGCCATGACCACAGGAATGCACCTGTGACTAGGACTATTTAATAATTATGCTTAGCTCTCTCCCTGCCCCAATTCTTCCATTCTATCTAAACCTAAACAAATGTCTGCATGTGGAAGATGTGTTTTGTTTTCTTCTTCCCACATGCCCGGGCCATGTTAGTTACATCTCCTTTCTCTGTCCATCACCATCACTCATCTTTTTATTTGGTGTATTGGGACAGGTGGTCAGATCTGACCTATGAAACCCAGAAGTTTTGACCTATGGCATAAAACTCCTTTAACAGCAAGGTAAATATTAAAACAATTTATAAAGATGGTTCCTACCTGTGACATCATTCAAACTTACTTCTGGTTCTGGAGCTCCCCTTCAATAAAAAATTCTTTGATGAATTACAAGATTGCTGTAAGGTTGAACCATTTAGCTTTTGCTGTGAGACCTTTGTGAAACCTCATGCAGGACCTACTGGGGATCTTCATTGTGACTCCCAGGTATGAGGTGCGGAGCTCTGAAGTTTGTTGGGGCTGGAACATTGCATATGCCTTTGTGGAACAGAACAAAGGAGGAGGTGATGGCAGGAAGGGACTTTTCCATAAAGCTCATCTGAAGAATTTGCCTGCTATCTCATAGCTATTTTAATAGTACAAGAAACATTATGCTGTTTTTTAGAAATATAAATCCCAGGGAAATATGAATTACAATAACATACATCAGAATTACCTTTCTGGAACCCCTGGATTAAGGGACATAGAATGTAGTTAGTAGTGAGGGTTGCCAAAATCAAAATTGTGTTACTTATGTCAAGCCCTAATAAAAATAAAGTTGGGGGACTGGAAGTGTGGCTCAAGCAGTAGAGCTCCTGCTTTGTGAGCATGAAGCCCTAAGTTCAAACCCCAGTCTCACCAAGAAAAGAAAAAAAAAAAAGCCACGCCAAAAATAAAGCTGGGGGGCTATTAAGAAGGAAATATTATATGTATATCCAGGTTATCAAGAACCATTGCAAAACACTGCTAGAACAATATTATATGAAATGTCACCACAACTTCAAAGGAAAAATACTTTGTGAGAACATTTGCCCAGCAACTACCTGCTTCACCCTGGGCTGGTGCCATCTGCATGACAGACCTCTGTAGCCAAAGTTCATTATTTTAAGACAGCTTATGAAACTCGATTCATCTTACCTTTAAAAATCTGTCTTCTCTGGCATCTTTGCATATGCCCACATGCATTCTCCTTACAATGTTCATTCAGAATAAACTCGTTATCTTCGGAGATATTTTAGGTTGACAGCAGATTGTTAAAGAGTGGTGCCTAAAGGACGTGCTAAAGGACATGCCTCTCAGAAAGAACAGTAGCAATGGAGAGCTCAGTGATCAAGTTCCTTGGGATTGGGTTCCCAAGGTGTAACTGACATGATTGAGTATCTAGAATTTCTGTTAACTTGTTCACTGGATGATTGTGTAATATTGATGCTGTTAAGCAAAACAGGAAAGAATGAACTTCTTTGGGGAGAAGGGAGTGAGGGAGGATATGAGTGGAATTTTGGAGACACTAAGTTAAAAGTATCTATGGAGAGAACCAAAAATTGGGTCTACAGAGCTGAGAAAAATTATAGGTGATTGTAAGGACATTAATACTATGATGACAAAATATGAGCCACACACTTAAGAATGAGTTCATTTTAAATCAAAATCAAATATAGACTGTTTATTATAAATATCAAAATTCAGAACAGCTGAGAAGTATTAATCATTTTGAAATTTGAAAAATCCTTTAACATTTGAAGGAGTATTAGAAAAAGATATCATATAGAAAGTAGATAACACCAACTAGAACAACTGGGACTTAATTATTTTCTAGCATACTTGGATAATTAGATATCTTATCAATTAAGTTGCCACTATTTATCTTACTGGAACATCTCTACACCTGAGTCAATATATATTCTTTTGGGATTGCTTCTGGTTTGGTGTTATTCTCATAAAGAATGTCCTAGAATTTTTTTAGTGGTTGTCACTGCTTTTGAAGTTTTACCTTTTTTCACATCTTATTCTTTTAAGAGCACTGGTAAATTTTAGAGAAGAAATATTTACACTTGCCATTTTGATAGGATTTTCTTATATTAAGTCTTTTAGTACTGATTCCCTTTGATTCAATCAAAAGACCAGTTCCTTTGTTCTGAGGTTCTTAGGCTGCCACACAGGAAGTGGCTTGTCTCCTGGCTGCAAACTTTGTGCCTTCTGTGCTTTCAGAATTATTAACCATCGCTAACACTGCAGAGGGTGCAAGTTAATAGATCCACACTAACAGCAATAACACCACAGATGTTAAGAACCAGGAGTCAGGTGAAAGCCAAAGGGAAGCACAGCACAAAGAAGCAGTTAAGATGGGAGGCTGGGAAAAGTAAGTAGAAAACAGGAGTCAGACAGCCTGGAAACTCACATTTTGGCTGGGGCACTGGGTTAACAGATGGGACTCTGAAAGGAGTGGTACCCAAAAATCATGAGAGGAAGACAGAGGTGAGATTCTAACGTTGCTAGAGACTTAAAGATTAAGGGAACCAAGGAAATAGTGCAACAGAAATGGAAAGTCAATGATGAGGAAAATTAGGGAATCATCCCATAAAGAATATGAGACAGGGTACTTGTGGGAAAATACTTTGTTCTCTGATACAGGGAGAAGAAAGTAACTCTCAGATTTTTAGTAACAATGAAAATTTCCTAACAGTAATTTGCTTTGCAGGATATGCTACTTAGGTTTCTTATCACATGGTTGGCACATTGGTCATTTAATTTCAGTCCCTTTGTTTCTCTGAAGAAGGGATCTGGCCTTTTGTTTCTTTGCACATGGCCATTCACTCTACTGTTCAAGCTCCATTTGATGAGACAAAGAATTGGAATTTCAAATTGTATGATACTCCATCTTGGAAGGCTGCAATTCTATTGGAAGTTTGGCTATTTTTGTAGATAGTGCCCCTATCTAAAGCTACTGATTATATCCCACAAAGTATAACAAATTCTTTTTTTTTTTTTTGGTGGCAATGGGGTTTGAACTCAGGGCCTCATACTTGCTAAGCAGATGCCACTGCACCAGTGGGAAACAAATTATCACCTCTTTGATCCTACCTGATCACATTAAAATATAAACAAACATAAAATTCAAAATGACAATAAGCAAACAAAACTAAGCAATAGCTTCTTCAAGTCTGGGGCCCTTAAATACAACCTAATCTAGTCTTCACAAGTAGGGGATATCCCACAGGTTTCTTATAGGATGCGATGTTTATAGGCTTTGGGTGTCTTTCATCTGTACAAGAAGATGACACTCTGCAACTCAGTTTGAATGCTAGGCTCTAGAAGCTTCTGTAGAGTTGAGCAATGCTTAGGATGAAGTGTCATGTGATACTACATTAAGAAAATCTTCATTTTTTGTAGATATCTCTTGATGTCCCCAACATTTCACACAAATACAGCAGAAACAGAATCTGCAATACCTAAGACATACCCAAAAAAGAAATTATTAGTACCAGCCTATTTCTGTTTGGACGCTGTTTAAGTAGTGAATTAAAGCTTTCTTTTCACTTAGGTTTAGAATGGGCTAGTGTCTACTAAGAAAATAAAAACCTGTCAATGAAAACATGGTAACCTCAAAAGCAGGTATTTGAAATGTCTGATATTTTTCTTTTAAAATACTATAAAAACAAAATTTACTTGCTAACTTAATAGGTGAATGCATCTGAGACCTGTATTGCACTAATATATAGTTCTTAGTTGATCAAGTTATTGTAAATACAATTTCAAACCTCAAACTCTAAAGTTGAAATGTGAGCAAAATTTTAATATAACCCATGTCCTCTACTTTCCTGGCACACCAGAATAGAGATCTCAATGCCATGATGAAAGCAAAAAGTAGCCCATTTGAAGACTGGATTTTATTGTAATGACCTATACTTTTGAACTCTCTTGGGGCTATGGAATCCTATCCACCTTGTGCCATTGTTCATAGGGGCAAGAGGACTAGCATCAGGTACACAAGTTTCAGGAAATCTCTCAAGGATTTGAATTCCTGTATAATTAATAACCAGGTGCTTGGAGACTCAGCTTCATTGGGGTAACAGAATAGGTTATTATTTAATTTTCATGCATTCTATTTTATGGAATGATTGGACAACAATCATTAGACTGAATCAAAACACCCAACTCACAAGTTTTGCCTCACAATCTGGAAGGTTCTATAATTTTTAAGAGGTGAATGGTAGGTATATTATTGTTTTATCTAATATTTTGACACATCTGGGTAAAATGTGTCTAATTTTTCCCCTTCTAAAATGTAAACAGTGTGTGTGCAACAGTGTCTCTTTTCAAAATGTTCTTTTATTTTTATCTACTGGTGAAAGGATGGAAATTATTGCTGCAAATGTGCTCTGAGTACATTGGAAGTATTCTATAAAGTAGACAGGTTTGTAATTTTAATATATTCAAAAACCTTCTCCAAGATTTAGCCTGAAATTTTCAACAAAAATCCACAACTCACCACACATGTTAGCTCCCATTTTGACATGTGCATAGCCATTTACACCCCAGGAACTTCCCCATGAGTTCCGCACTATCCAATATGGAGTACTTCCTACAGACAGAAAATGGTAACAAACACTGAAAACTCACATTCATTAGGAAAACCTAAGTGTCTTTACTTAAATTGGGGTCTTTATAAATCTAGTAGCTCTGAGAAAAAGAGAATAAATGTAGTATAACTGTTTATACTTATATAAATATATATATATATATATATATATACACACACATATACAGCATCACACTCAGTAGAATTATATGTCTGAATTCATTTTGCTTAATACAGAGACTGTACAGAATAAAAACAAACAGCTCCAGGGAATGAGGAAAGGGTTTTTTACCAGATATAAATGATAAATTAACAAGCACCTCTCTTTTCCCAACAATTATCCTAAATATTCCAGATGAAGACTGCTCATTACTTAAATTAAAAAATATCATTAGCATGTTGGGGACAAAGTTCAATGGTAGAGCACTTGCCTTGCACATGCAAGGTTAAATCTCTACAACACACATACAAAGAAATGTTCAGGCAGAACATTTACACCTGAGAGATCACTCACAAGTGGGCTTTTAGGCACAGCAGACTGAATTTCAGTATTGTACAGGTTGGCCGTAGTTTGTCAGAGTTCAATCTGGAAAGCAATCAAGGGAGTCTTATCGACACTCACCTGTCTTATCAAAGCCAGTTATGAGAACTGCATGGTTTGGTTCTCCCCTGGAACAGTGGTGCTGGATTATGCCTCCTAGGTAATCCTGCCAGCTCACTGCATCTACTATCACTACCAGAGGGCCAAAGGTAAGAAGTGCTTTTGCCATTTCATCTTCTTGGTCGCTATCAAAGAGGAAACACTTAGGTAAGGAATTTGTTTTTAAGGTGATAATAAAAATGATCTTTTAAATCTGGGTATGATCAGAGCTAGGCTTGGGTCCAGTTACAAATGATCTAAACAACAGAGACTAAGTCTGAGAGAATGGCAGTCCAGGACTGTATGTGGCTCAGAATGTCAAAAACTCAGCCTCTTTTTATATCATTTTTCTGCTATGTGAGGTTTCTATTCTCAAGGTCAGCTCATATTCTAAGATGGCTGTTGAAGCTCTAGCCATTTAATAATTTCAGAAAGCAGGAAACGGATGGAGAAGAAGTGCTACATCTCTTTTAAGAAGATTTCCAAGAAAGAACACAACCCCCACTGCATGCTGGACTCATGGCCTGAACTCAGTCATGTGGTTAAGTAATGGCTTAATAGGGAATAGAGGTTTGTATCAGGCTGGCAAAGCACTCAGTTAAAACACAGGGATACATCTAATAATGAGTAGGGATACGCCTAATAAGTATAAGATTAAAAATTCAGAAATACTTTGTCATCTCTGCCAAATTATGTGAGAATCAAGAGACTAAGCAACTTACGTTAGTGACTGCCAAATATGGAAAGTATAGGAAAACCTTATGTAAAAGTAACTAATATAATTATACACTAGAATATATTATGTCAAAAAATAAATAAGAAATGCTGAGGTCCCAGGAGGACTAGGTGTTAGACAGCAAGAGATACACTTGCTTCCACAATTACTATGGACATCCGCTAGCAAAGTCTTATGTGATACAACATTTGGCTTCTGTCTATCTTGAAAGTATGTTATTAAAACATTCACATGTTTCAAAGGTCAGCTTTGTGGGTGAAGGCACTGAAACCAATGTACTGCCAGCTCAGGCCATTAAGATAGCATTAAGGAGTTTATTGCTATGGCAAGCCATGGTGGTTAGGACCTTAAAAGAGTAAACAATTCCTCACCAGGCCCAGCTGGGGACCAGTTTCTACCAAGGAGATACTGTGTTCACACATGAGGGAAACTTGATTTCTTAAAAAATGGTGTTTATGAAATAGAAGCTATGCATTTATTTCACATGATTATTCATGTAAAATATTAACCTGAAATTTGTTTTTTGGAGATCTGTGAGTGGGCATTTCTAATATTTGCTATAATAATTGGTATGCATTAAGATTATTCCAAGACAGGCAAAATTATAATATTTTTCAAAGACACCATGAAAGAGTATAGCCTTTGAATTTTCCCAAGCCTGGGCTCAAGTTCTAGCTATACATTGGAGTCACTCCTCCTACTATGCAGAATCAACACTAGCATGAAATTACAGTATTTTGTAGGCAATAAACTATGTAGAAGGTCCAGGATGAGCTATACTCTCATCTTAAAAACAAACATTCCTTCCTTCAATTCTAAGTCATCTAAGAACAATTCTGTTCAGCATAGATTTTAGTACATAATGATAACTTAGTGTGCTCAAATTAACTTGAATACTTTATAAGTTAAACATGATATTTTTGGTAATCTCTGTATTTTCCAGAGTATAGTTGTCTCCATCTATTTAAGATAACAGGACACAGATGGGAGGATTATGGTTTGAGGCCCGCCTGGGGAAAAAGTTAGCGAGACCTCACTTCAAAAGGGTATGGTGAGCCAGGTGATGGTGGCTCATGCCTGTAATCCTAGCTATGCTACTTGGGAGGCTGAGACATAGAGGATCCTGATTCAAAGCCAGCTCGGGCAAATAGTTTGAGAGACTCCATCTCCAAAATAAGCAAAGTAAAATGGACTGGAGGATAGAGCACCTGTTTTGCAAACAAGAAATCCTAAGTTCAAACTCAGTTCCATGAAAAAAATGAAAGGGTGTCATACCAGCTATGTGGGAGGCAGAGGAAGGTCCCAAGCCATCTCTGGGCAAAAGTGAGACCCTGCTTGAAAAATAAACCAAAACAAAAAGGACTGGGGTATGATTCAAGTGGTAGACCACCGGCCTACCACGTGCATGGTCCTGAGTTCCAACTCCAGTAATTGCAAAAAAGACAACAAAAGATGCACTGTAAATATATCACACCAGTGATCCATTATAGCGGCAACAGGAGAAAAGCAAATAGATTAAGGAGAAATACTGCTTACCATGTAAAAGATTACTCAAACTGTAGCATCAAGTAAGTAATTTAGTACCAACCCTTGCTTTGAGCCAGGATATGGAAAAGATACTAAAGATAGCAGAGAACCAGGAGCAGGAAGACATGTCCCAATCATAGCCAGGAGACAAAGGCTCCATTTGGCCCCAGAAATAATTTTAATACATAGTATTTTAATGTGTAATATTAAAATGTAGCTTTCTTTCATTGTTGCTTGTTTAAATAGTTATTCTAATATTCTAATTTGAGTTGTAAAATGTCCAGGTTTGATGAACAAAAAAGAGGTGTCCATCAATGCCCTCCATCCTTCCAACACCCTGTTTTAATGTTATTTTTGGTAACCAATACAGTCTCATATGCTGCTCTCAACCTTCCCACTACATGTAGCCACCCTGGCTTCCTCATTTTTCTTCAAAACTTCCAGGCATGCTTCTGCCTCAGGATCTTTGCATTCACAGTCCCCTCTCACTGGCACAATATCCCCCACATATCTGCACGATTCTGTTCCCATACAAATCTTCACACAAATGTCACCTCTGTAAGATTCTCCCTGGCAACCCTCTCTATATACTCCCTTTCCCCATAGCACTTCTGCTTACCATTCTATTTTGTTCTCTTTAGAGCTTATTATGACTAACACATCATAGACAGTTTTGTTTGTTTTATTCATTGTCTGTCTTGATCAAGAAACACAGTTCATGAGGACAGGTCTTATCTGTTTTGTTTACCGCCAAGTTCCCAGAACTTAAGCAGTGTCCAGGAAATATTTGACTGACTTAATAAGTCAAATAGAGATCTTTCTACAGTGTAAAACAGTCATTTTAGGATGGAACTACCAGAGAGTTTTAATGTACAGAGTTAAAAACAAACGGGTTTTCGGACTGGGGTGCAGCTCAGTGGGAGAGCACATGCCTAGTATGTATAAGGCCTTAGATTTGGTCACCAAAACTAAAAGGAGCAAACAAATAAGAAAACCAAACTAGAGATTTTTTATTAGGATCATTTTCTTTTTTATTTTTTTCCTGGCAGTTCTCAAGTTTTGAATTCAGCTTCGTACTTGCTAGGCAAGTACTCTACCATTTAAGCCACACCTACAGCCCTTTTTGCTATAGCTATTTTTCAGACAGTCTCATGCTTTTTGTCTAGAGCTGGCCTCAGACTATTATCCTCCCATCTCTGCCTCCTGTGTAGTGGGATTATAGGGATATATTACCATGCTCAGCTTATTCTGAGATAGGATATCCACTAATTTCTTGCAGGGGCTGGTCTCAAACTGCAATCCTCTCATCTCCACCTCCCAAATAGCTCAGATTACAGGTATGAGTTACTGTGCTTGGCTAGAATCTCTTCCTTCTTAATCAAAGGCCCACTGTCAATGTTTGCATATTCTGTCTCTCTCTGATTCTCTTCACCCCAAATCAGACACCCATATCCCCATGACTGGGGATGTTCTGCATCCCTTTTAATGATGTTTTAGAAATCTGATTCCTTCTATGGACGCCCCACCCCTATTCTCAAGGAAGGACAGCTTACAGCTATGCCTTTCACACTTTAGGAAGCACACTCCCTTTACTCCAAGGGAGACACTGACCACTGTACCTGAGGACCTCACATATCCTATGCAAGTCCCCTGCCACCTGACAGGTGGGGCATCAACTCTTTCTGCTGTGTGGTTCCTATGCTCCCCCAGGGCCCTGGCTGCAGACAGAACCTGGCTTGACAACCTGCCAGTCTTCTGGCGGACTCATGCTCATTGACATTGGTTATACTTCCATCCAAGGATCTAATTTCTCCCTTGATTTCCCTCAGTTCCCATGGGAAGGTACCATCTGAGTCAAGAGAGTCTCCTAGGTTCGGCATCAGTCACAGGGCATTTTCTTTCCTTATCTGAATTTAATTCCCTTCCTCTCTTTCCTCTGCCTCAAAAGATGGTACAAAGTTCCTGTCATATTTTTTGAAAATGAGGCCAGGAGTGAATTTTCCTTTCTCTTTATTGTCCCCAACACCTATTTTGCACCCTACCAAATGGTCACAACAATTATCTGGCCAGCTTTGTGCTTTTCCTATGTGCCTCCCCCCACCCATTGCCCCTGAACGTAGCCAAAATTATCCTCACTTTGATTTTTAATGCAGGTCCTTTTCTCTGCCAAACTATCCCAGTATTTCCCCAGTGCTTGTCCTGTGGGGCATATAACTAACCTGCAGTGTTATACTCTTGCCTCTTGGCTTTAATATGAAAGTTTCAGTTTGTGGTTTTCTTATAGCTGATGTCTTGAGACATATGAGGAAGTTACAGGGTGATCAAAAATACTTCTTGGTCAAGAGTGTACTCAAAGTGACTGTGGATGGACTCAACAGTAAAACTGGAACAGGCCGATGGTGTTACACCATCTGAATTTGGCAAGAGAAAGGTGGGAAATATAAATTATGCTTCAAGCAAGATTTAAATTTGTGAATTTAAGTTTCTTATTTCTAGAAAAATGACAAATAGAAACCTTTAAGAAACATCTATACTACCCTTTCATGATCTCCAATTAGTCTCTCTAATAAAAGACTATGTGGGTGACTCCCTCAATCAAGTTATTAATTCTGAATAATCAGTAGATCATAAATTAAGAATACACAGAAAAAACCACAACAGAATAAGGTGCTTACCTGAAGTCATGTGCAGAATAACCTTTGATCGAAACTCCCTGCTGTGAGCTGGAGAAGTAACGGCATAGGCCGTTATGAGCTTTAAATGGGTACTCTGAGTCAGTCACCAGTTGCATGTGTGTCTAAAAGAGAAAAATCACTCAAAGCCTTCACTGTAAGTTGTTTTAAAAATCAAACAGAACATACTTCAATGTGCCACAATAGGCCAAACTTCACCATACTTTCATGTGGGCACACTTTGAGTTCTTAAGACATTAAAATAAATATTTAGATGCTTGTTATAAACATCCTAGTCAACAGACTCAGTATCTTTCTTTCTTTACTCTAATTTTTCTCCCACTTTTCTTCCTAGAACTTCCATCCATCTGCAAATAACATCTCACCAGTCATCTTTCTCCTGATTGTGGTCGGTTGTGACAGAGCGTGTACCTTCTGCCAGGCTTACTAACTCTGTGTCAGGCAGTCTTTGAACCAGCACAGTCATGTACACACAGGCACCAGTTAGGTCATACATTTTTGCTACCATGTCTCTTCAAGCCATTCATTCAGCACATGTCACATTTTACAGTTGTTTGTTCAGAATTCTCCCCTTTGGAATGCTGGGATTATCAGAATGGAGGGGACTCACAATTTATTGTTGTCTAGAATATGAACTAAGCAGATCTAACTCACAGTGACCGAAGGACAGCAAATGTACACTGGAAGGACATTTGGGTTGGGGGAACTCTTGCTTGATGTTTTACAAAACTAGACTTAGTTATAGGAACGTACTACAGAAGTGGCAGAGAAAAGGAAGAACAACTGAGTGTCTTTGTGGAGTGAGAGTCTCATATGCTGGATATGGAAAAGTGTCACAGTGTCCTTGGAAAACTGAAAACACTTCAGCACACTGAGCAAACCCTCAGTGGAAGGCAGAGGACTCAACATGCAGTTCCAGCTCAGACAAATTTAGCTACATGGTCCCAGCTCTCAAGTCTCATTTCTTCAGATATAAAAAGTTACAGGGGCTGGGGGTGTGGTTTAATTAGAAGAGCACCTGCCTAGCAAGCTTGAGGCCCTGGGTTCAATCCCAGTACTGCCAAAAAAAACAACAAAAAAAGTTACAAAACTAGTTGGTCTCTAATGACCCTTTTTAACCTCAACATTCAGAAATTCTATGAAAATCAGTAATTATAAGCTCTTTCTGGAGCATTATATGATATGTCTCTGCAAAATTACTACTAAGAAATATTGAGAAAGCTGGGCAAAGAAATCAGCATAATTATCTTTCTGAAAACAGATCTCTAAGATTCTTCACCCTTTCTATCTTGATGATTATTTTGCCTAGAAGCCATTAATTCTAGAATCAAATTAATTCATTCAAGCTCTGCTCATCTAAATTTCTCAATGTGGAACCATTGTGTAGTGTGTGAGAATAACTGAATTTTGAACACACAGTAAAGAATGTCAACAGAGAAAACCAGCAATTTGAAAGGCTGAGAGGTACTCACCTTGTTTAACCAGCTCAGAGCACTGAGAGGTGACCCTCCCTGGCAGCCATAGTTGTTGTAGGAGCAGTCGATGACCTGCTGCACACTGAGGTCCTTTAAGGGTGCCCCATGTATTGCACACACAGACTCCACTGCACCCACCACGCTGAAAGCCCAGCACCCTCCACACTGTCCAGGAAAAGAAAGAGTGTTGTGATTACTCTCAGTGAGTGTCTTAAGTCATGCTTATCAATGTCTCTAAATATAACAAGTTAGCAAGTATGGCAAAGGTTCTAGAATCTGGAAATTTCCAAAATATATGAGCCCATTCTCCAGCTTTTCAAATTGAAAAGATAAAACCAAAATCCAACTATTAGTTAAAGCAAAATTAGTAATGCTAGATTATAAATTAAGTAATGCAGGATAAAGTAAATTATTAGAGACTAGCAGAGCACCTGATAAATGATGATATTTTAAGACCAGTCTGTTAATTGAACACATGGATTCTGTTTATAAGAGGATCCTCTCTGGACAGTATGCACTGACTTCAGGCCACTACTCAGTCCTTCTTTCTTCTGCCCCAGACACTCTTTCATGGTTATACGCACCTCCATTCCCAGGGCCAAGTCAGCAATGAGGATGTATGTTGTACTCATCATTTGATAAGTGGGAGTGAACAAATTACTGCTTAAACCATCAAGATGGCAGTGGATACCTATGACACATGCATATCATGGATATACTTACTGAGTCTCAACAATATAACCCATACATATAAAACCTAAATATTGGCTGTCCTCTGGCTGATGGTGGATCTATTAACTTGCTTTTATTTAACAAAAGAGAACCAAGAATGAAAGGGCTGATCTTAATAGAAGGGAGAAGACTGAGGGAATGGAATTGGGGTCATGTAAAATGGAAAAGGTAGAGAGCAGTATTTGAAACTAGAGTTAGTCATTGGACCATTATCTGCAGAACTGGCAAAAAAAAAAAAAAAAAAGGAAGAACAACTGGCTGTTCTTTTGGAGTGAGGTTTGTGGTTTTAAGTGGTCTTATTTACATCACTAATTCTAGTGCTAGCACATAGAGGCATATTCACTAAGTAACTCTATAGCTTGGGAAAGTTCTCACCTCCAGAAATGTGAACACAGGCAGCTGATACCATCCATAGCTACCTTTAGTCAGGCTCTGAGGGCGGTTCCTTCTAAAACAGTATCCTCTGTATACTACCTTTTCAAAGACTAACTTAAAAGTTCCTCTTTAATACAGTGTAGAAACTTTGTGGAAAGATTGGGTTGATGACCAACTCACCACTTATTATGCATGCAATAATAAAGCAAATGATTCAATGGTAACATTAAATGCACAACCATACACAATGAATCAAAGAACTGAAGAGTTCATTCTTCTTAAAAAAATTTTATTAGGATACATTTGTTATACAGGGGGCATTTCATAGTAACAGTTCTGATTAGACTTATATTGTACATTGGTTACATTGTCCCCATTTCTCTCCTCCTCAATTCCCTCCCCACCCCACTTAAAGCAATTGCAAGGTCTCTTAGTTCTATTTTATATAGGTATATGAAGTCCATGCACCATATACCGTCACCTTAATTCCCACTATCCAACACTGCACTTATTTTATAGTCCTGTTTTTTATCATTAATATTTAAGTTGATGTTCAAAGAGGTGTCTCAGTGTATGCCCACTGTGAGTATACTTTACTTTGGTTAATTCAACCCCTTCTATTACTATCCCTTACTCCTTTACCTCCCCCACCACTTTTCAACAGCTTTCAATACACATCCTTATATCCTCTACCTTCACATCTTATTTATTATGGTATTACTGATGCTCTGTCATTCTTTTCCTTTCCCCCTTTCCCTGAATTCCATAGAATAGTTCCACTATTGCAAACACATTCTGCCTCTGAGTTTGATACAATCATGCTTGTTTTTGTGTATAAGTTTATCTTTTGAATCTATCTTCCAATATGAGAGAAAACATGTGGCCTTTGTCTTTCTCAGCCTGGCTTACCTTACTTAACATGATGTCCTCTAATTGCATCCACTTACCTTTAAACCACATGTTCCTTATGACTGAGTAATACTCCATTGTGTACATATACCACATTTTCTTGATCCATTCATCAGTTGTAGGGCACCTGGGTTGTTTCCAAAGCTTGGCTATTGTGAATAGTGCTGCAATGAACATTGGTGTGAGGTGCCTCTATTGTATCCTGTGTTACATTCCTTTGGGTTGATGCCAAGGAGCAGTATCATTAGATCACATGGCGGTTCTAGCTTTAGTTTCTTGGGACTCTCCATACTGCTTTCCATAATGTTTGTACTAATTTGCATTCCCACCAACAGTGTATAAGGGTTCCTGTTCTGTCACATCCTCACCAGCATTTGTTGTTGTTACTGCCCTTGAATATGGCCATTCTAATGGGGGTGAGATGAAATCTATGTTGTTTTGATTTGCATCTCTTTTACACCAAGGGAAGTTTGAACACTTCTTCGTGTATTTACTGGTCATTTGTACCTCTTCTGTTAAGAATTCCCTGTTTAATTCATGTGCCCTTTTCTTCATTGGGGTGTTGATTCTTTGGGGGTTAAGTTTTTAAGGTCCCTGCGGATTCTGGATATTAGTCCCTTATCAGATGAGTAGCTGATAAGATTTCTCCCACTCTGTAGGCTCTCTTGAGTCTGGTGACTCCTTGGCTGTGCAGAAGCTCTTTAGTTTGATACAGTCCATTTGTTCATTCTTTCTGTTAGATGTTGAGCCTTTTGAGTTCTATTTAGGAAGTTGTTGTCTACATCTATTTGTTCCAGTATATTTCCTACTGCTTCCTGGAGTTGTTTCAAAGTTTCAGGCCTTATATTTAGGTCTTTGATCCACTTTGAGTTGATTTTGGTACAGGATGAAGACAGGGATCTAGCTTCAGTCTTCTACATGTGGATACCCAGTTTTCCCAGCAGCATTTGTTGAAGAGGCTGCCTTTTCTCCATGGTGTGTTTTGGGCTCCTTTGCTGAAGATCAGTTGTCTATTGATGAGTGGGTTTATGTCTTCTGGGTCTTCTATTAAAGGGTTCATTCTAACTAGGTGGTGATTTAAAACTGCTGGGTATAAATCACTGCATACGAGGGGAGGCTGAGTGACCTGCTGAGGCGTCCTCTGCAGACAAACCTCAGACAAACTAAGTGTCCTGTGGTTGGGAACCTGAATTTCCCTAGTCACCTGCATTCCCTGTGCTGATGGCAGATTGTGGGCGTGTGGAGGGGAGGCAATGCCAACAAAGTGCACACACAGCCCTAAACACCTACCAGCCAGGACATCACTACATGCACCACCCATCCACATCTGGAGTTGCCATTTTCCTTTGGATTTGACATCACCCTCCTCCCACCACTTCATGATACACTGCAAGCCACAGACCCCCCCCCCCAACTTCCACTTTTGCAGATGCACTTGGGGTCTGTCTCAGAGCAAACTGCTGTTTTTATTATAGTTCTTATTTATTTCTTAATCATCCAACAAGTATAAACTCTGCTACTGTGTTCATTAGTTTCCCACCTGTTTTTAAAACATGTCACTGTTTTTAAGCATGGTGACCTAACCTCAACTCTCCAATATTCCCTGTCATTTTACCACAGTTATGTGCAGGTGGTGGTGACTTTTTTTCAATGTGTATGTCACCTCTCAGGTGAACCGACTATGCTTTTAAGGAGAACTAAACAGCGTGTGACGCTGTCAGCAGTGAGCAGGTAGACAGGGCTTTCTGAGGGAGCTCACAGGTGAAGTCTGAGAACTCAGGACACCTGCTTATGCTGCCGGTAAATGTGAACAGCCTCATTTATTTTCCTTCGGAATCAAACAAGCAAGAGGTCACTTTCCCTTCTCCAGCCTTTCACCTGTGATTCCGCAGAAGGCTTGGTATCTGTGGTATAGTGGCCAGGACATGTTCCTGAGTCGGTGTGCTAGGGACAAAAGCAATTTCTGAGTTAACACACTAATGAAAACTCATCTTCAGGAATAAAAGTCAAGATTTGACATCTGCCTGTCATTCTTCAAAGACCCTCCCTTCATTGTCATTTTGGAATGAGTCAGGTGTGATTTTACCTAGAAAAAATGATTGTTTTCATTATAAGTTTAACTGAACCTGACCTCAAAGGTACTTTCCAATGTTTACATGTTTAAACAAGAAACAGGATCTAAAACTCACCATCTGCTGGTTTCTCACTTGTGTCACAACATGCTTGTCCCTCCAGTCAAATCTTAGTGGCAAAGACACATTGGTGATGGACATTTGTACTTCAGGTGGGTGTCTGGGAAACCTGGAAGGTTTGCTTCTTAGATAAATGGCTGAGAGAAAATGAAGTGGAGAGGAAACTGAGATTGTGTGAGAAGGAGGGTCCCTGAGGACTCTTTCTGGAGCAACGTCTCAAGCAGAAGTAGCAGTGTTCTGGTAAGCCTGCTGTGTCAGATTTTCCCTCTTGCTGCCTATAGCATGAAAGGCATTCCACCAAGAGCTCCAGAAGAGAATTCTTGCAACAAGGTCAGGGCTTATATATACAATGATTTGCTTGATAGAATCAGGCTCGTAATAAAAACATGTACAATTGACACATTCTTTCTTTTTTCAGGGGGGCAGAACTGGGGTTTGAACTCAGGGCCTACCACTTGAGCCATTCTATCAGTCTTTTTTGCTTGAGTTATTTTTCAGATAGGGGCTTCTGTTTATGTCCAGGCAGGCCTGGACTGTGATCCTCCTACCTATGCCTTGGGTAGCAGTGATTACAGGTGTATGCTTCCAAACCCAGTGTGGTCTTTGACATAGGGTATCACTACTCTTTTTGCCCACACTGGCCTCAAACAATCATCCTCCTATCTCAGCATGCTGCATAGCTGGGATTAGAGGCATGACTACCACAACAGGCCCCAAGTGACAGCATTTCTTTTATCATAATCCATAGAGCCATGAGTGTCCTGAATAGAAACTACATTGAATGACTGCAGAAGTGATGAGACCATTGTTCCCCATAACTGCATGGATCTGTGCACAATGGTGCCATTTAGTTCTTGTAAGCAACAACTAGCAGAGAGTGGCCCTGGATTTATTTTTCTTATGGTCAGCACAAGGTACATGCTTGATATTGGTAAGTATCTAATAAATATCAACTAGATCTACAATTAAACAATTTCTCAAAAATTAACTGAAGAAGAATCAGTGGATTATCAATTAATAGTATAATCAGATCATACCTCTAAAGTCTTCAGGAAACAAATAGGAAAACTGATTTATTCCATAGAAAGCAGTGGCATTTTCACGAGGAAAAGAATTCAAGTATCGATGTCTGTTGAGACTTTCCTACAAAAACAGAAACAAGTTATTGTATATTTACTGTGTCAGTTCTCCAAGGCAATACATGCATGAACAGCTTGAAGATACTTTCAGGTACAAAAGTTAAAACTTGATTTATTTCCTGAAGACTACAATGTTGTGTAAGATATCCATATCAGATTTATAAACATTTTGTTCTTAGAACTACTACAGACCTTTTTTAGGTTAGGTAAAGTGTGGTTGATGCATTTGTAATTCCTCTTTCCCATGCATGCTGAGAGCACTGCATATTTATTTAAGTATTGACATAGTGGAAAAATAGGTTGTAGACAAGTGAATTGTTTAGTGGTAAATTGTCACTGGTGGACATGCACTCGTGTGATTAAGCAATGGTGAACACGGGAGCTTCCTTCTCATTTTTGTTTTTCTCAGTGCTAAGTAGTGAAGTGCGAACAAAGACTGAGTAAATAAAGGGTGGAGAAGTCTGGTTCTACTAAAGCTTCCTTGATAGTTCTGTCTTGAGTGGGGTAAAAAGACATTGTGAAAGGGATGCAATCCCAGAAATGTGCCAGGAAGGAGAGCTAGCTTTTCTCTCAGGAGAGGAGAATGGGACCACTATTTACATACCCCAAAACTCTGAATTTTGTCATAATTAATATTAGGCTTGTCTTTTCTACTAAGGTACATTGATTTCCTAACACTAATCAATCTTGTGGGACAAATGAAACCTCAGAGGCCTACCATTTGGTAAGTTTCCAATTCTAGCTTTTCTAAGTTTCAGTGTATGTTGCTATGTGTTTACTGTGTGAGTCTCAGAAACCAGTAAGCAGACAGGAAGCATGCTTGTCAGTCCTACTCACCCACAGTGTGCACGTTCTGGAACACAGTGCATCCTCAGGAATGATTTGTTGTTTAATACTTATGTAAATGATGTTTTCTATGCATCATGCCCTCAGTAGCATTTTGTTGTTTATTTTTAAGGACATTATTGCTAGAAGTTATCATAACCTTATCTTATCTTTCCTTTTTGAGTAGGACTGAGGATTGGGTTTTTTTTTTTTTTTTGTAGTTATTTGTTTTGTTTTGGGGTTGTTTTGGTGGTACTGGCATTTGAACTCAGGGCCTTGTGCTTGCCAGGCAAGTGCTCAATTACTTGAGTCATACCCCCAGCCTGAGGCTTGGAAGTCAATGAATTAATTGTTTTGGGTTTCAAGTATTTAAAAATCATCTTGGTGAAGCAGGGCTTTGGATATACTCTGGACATATTAATATAAAAATAGAACTAAACTATAAGGCAATTCTGTATATGGCAAGTGACAAACATAAGCCCATGGCTACAGCTTCTAAGGACTTGTTCCCACAGCTGTACCTAGTGAGGACAAGCTCTGGGGTGGGTTACTGGGGGAGACAAAGGACTGCCCTGACTGCTGGCTTTTGACTAATGCCTCCTGGATGGCCTTGCCAAGCCTTCAAACACACCTGAACTACTCAGAAAAATGTAGCAATTCTCCAAACACCCTCTCTTTTCTCCTTTACTCAGAGTTAGACTTACTTTGAGTCTGTAGCTGTCCCTAGTCTTCCCCCATTTTCTTATAGGCATTACTCCTGTGATGGGTGGATGGAAGGAAGGAAGGGAAGGAAGAAGGGAGGGAGGGAAAGAAAGAAAGAGAGAAAGAGAAAGAAAAAGAAAGATAGAAAACAAATTACTAATATCAGGAATGAAAGCACCATGAGGACCATGATTACAGGCATTAGAAGAATAATATTTTGAGATTATGCCAATAAGTTTGACAGTTGATGAAATAGAAAAATACTTTTTGAAAAGGATTACCAAAGCTGAATGCAGAAGAAATAGAAAAGTTGAGCAGCCCCTTATCAACTATGGCATCAAATTTGTAATTGAAAATTTACCCACAAAGAAACTTTTAGGCCAGATGGTGTCAGTGCTGAATTCTATATAATTGAGAAAGAAATAAGGCCAATTTTATAGAAAATAGAAAAGTAAATACTTTGTAACTTAAACAAGACCCATGTTACCTTGATACTAAACCAGAAAAAGACAGCTCAAGAAACTAGAAGCAGACACAAACAGCTCTCATGAATACTGATGGGTAATCCTTAACAAATTAGCAAATCAAATGCAACAATATTTCAAAAGGAGAATACATCATAATTGAATGATGTTAACTCAGAAATCCCAGGTCTGTATAATATTTGAAAATCAATCAAGATCACATAACACTCATAGAATAAGGGAGTTAGGAAAGAGGTATGATGGTTTTTCAATAAACACATAAAAATATTTGATAAAATCCCAAAGAGTTCTCAATGAACCCTAAAAAGGAAAGAGCACTGCTTACACATGATTAAAGAATTCATGAAAAGCCTACATCTTACTTAACTTTTGGAGGACTCAATATTTTCTTCCCTAGAACAGGAAAAAGGAAAGAATGTTATCATTACTTTTACTTCACATATATATTAGAAGACTTACTTGATTCAACAAGGCATGAGTAAAAAATAAAGATGCTATAAAGAAAGAAGTAAAACTGCCATAATGAAGAAAATATAAAATATGTATGAAGCCTAAGGAAATTTGCAAAATGCTACTTGAACTAATAAGCAAACTTTAGCAAGATTGTAAGATATACAGATCAATGTAAAAACTAATTTTATTTTAGTATTTTATTTTTTTGGTGGTATGGGGTTTAAACTCAGAGCCCATGATTGCTAAATAGGCACTCTACCACTTGAGCCACTCTGCCAGCCCTGTTTTGTGTTGGGTATTTTTGAGATAGGGTCTTTTTGACTATTTGCCTTACTTGGCCTTTAACCACTATCCTCCTGATCTCTGCCTCCTACGTAAATAGAATTACAGGCGTGAGCCACTGGTACCAGACTTTATATAATGGCAACAAACTACTAGAAAATGAGATTTAAGTTTTTCAAGGAATATGAAAAGTTAAATGACTATCCAAATATTTTTTTAAATGAATATACTGAACAAAAAATGTTAAGACTTAAACACTGAAATTTACAACATCTTACAAAGGGAAATTAAAAGAGATGCAAATTGATGGTGACATACACCATATTCATGGTTTGAAAGTATCAATATTGTTCAATATTGTTCATAACAATAGTCTTCCCCCAATTGATCTATATACTCAATGTGTCTCCAATCAAAATTCTAACTTTCTTTTTTTGTAAGAAACTGACCATTTGGTCAGGACTTCTACAGTTTGATACCAAAGGAAAAGTATATCAAAACTGAAAGAAAGCATTGACTACAAAAGAGAAAAAACCTCCAGTGTATCACAAAAATGAAAAATTAAAAAGCAAACAAAAAGCATAAAAATGACCTGAAACTAAACGTTAATATATTTTTATTCAAGGAGCTCCTACAATAAATAGAAAATGAAGTGCCAATAGAAAAACCAGTAAAAGGAGCTAATCTTGCATTATCAAAAACAGATAAACAAGTGATTAATAAATACACAGGTTTTTTAAATTTAATAAGGTGTTAAAATAAAAATAGCACCTACTTTAACTATGAAATCTGCGCATTATAAAAGTAAGACTCCTTCTGCAAGAGGACATGAAGAAACAACACAACCTACGCATGCACACAAAGCATAAGTCTGAATACCATTTCAAGATACTTAAAACCGTGAAAGCTGACCAAGAAATTCTAATTCCAGGAATTAATTCAATTACTGGTTTTGGTAGTGCTGGGGATCAAACCTAGGGCCTTGTCTATGCTAGGCAAGAACTCCCTCTGTCACTAGCTACAACTCCACCCTAGAACTTTATTTCAGACTTGTGAGTCTGGGCAAGGCTCTGACCCCAGCATTCAATGATGCACCTGTGGGTTCATGTAATTGTGTGGCTGGGTGAGGCAGGCGGCAGTTCACTTAGTTCATTTAGAGAGCTAGTGCAACTGTATCTATCTAGAGAACTTTCGTAATCTTACTAGGAAAACAAAATATTGCCTCTCTGAGTTAGCAAATGTCATATTAAAGCCAAAATACTTAGAAACAAATTTATATATCATCTTATTTTCAGTGAGTTCCCAAGTACTTCTTCAAATTGCACTGCTATAGGAATGTCCTATCATCCAAATTGTACTCATTCTGGTCATGACACAGCTATAATAACACCAACTTAATAAAGAAAGAAATATATGATTGCTCTATTTTAACTATCCGCGTTCCTAATTTTCAACAATGATTCCAATAATGGTTACTTGATTTTGGTACTGCACATTTGAGGTGATAAACTGCTCTCGCCATAAATGCTTTGTTTGTTTCTACTCTCCATATCACTGTGTCATTTATGGAAGCAGTGCCGGAATTTGCAAGGTTACAGAAATGTCACTTTCTTCCACTTGTTCAACCAGAGACCAATAAGAAGAATTCCACTTGCCAATCTTGCATGTCATTCCCATGCAATTATCTCTGCTCTGTTCATAGCTCCCCAGAGCCCATGTCAGAGCTACACATATTTATTTATAACTGCTCATTTCTTGCTAAGAGCAAAATTCTCTACACCACCAAGTATTTACTTTGCCCTTTCCCTACCGCTAGTTCCTACTCCCTTCTTTTGACTCTACAAGGCCATTAGTAACATCAGAAGTACTTCTCTAGGTGCTTCTAAACAAAGCATAGTTCTCTCACACCTCTGCAAACACACAAACACACATATAAACTTGTGGACAGATTTGTGAAATCTCCACCTGACTTGCAGCACACTGATATAAATGCTTTACCATTGCTGTGCAGTCTTTGGCTACATACTCAACCTCACTAAGTTTTAGTTTCTCCATTGGCAAATGGGGCAACACTGACCAAATGTAAGGATTAAATAAGATAGTGTTTGGAAAACACATAGTACATAATAAAAATGTCCAATTTACCTGTTCTCTTGCTACATCTTCCTTGTTCTTTAAACATAAAACAGCTAGATTATGGAAAATGCCATTCAAAGATCACATTTCCAGGTTTACTCGTGTTAAAGTGGAGCAGATA